AATTTGGAGGTCATCGAACGATATTAAGCGGATAAAATAAACCATATCTTTTATGTAAAAAAAAATACGAAAATTTACACTAAACCGCGAACATTTTTAATACCGGCCAAATCAGTAATACATAAAAAGTTCACTTCTGACCATTACCGTGATGATAGATAGCCAAAAATGTGGGATATATAGCAAAATAGGTACAATCTATCTATGTAAAAGTAATCGATTTTAGTTATTCCGCTTATAAGTCAAGAACCGCAGGGCTAATTTTCACAATTCTCATAAATTCGGAATGGTATCTTTCCGGAAAAGGATAAAAAAGGTGAATATTTTTTGTTAAATTTTTTAAATTTTTTTGCATGCGATTTTTTAATTTGACTTAAAATATTGAATTTACATTTTCTAAAGTTTTTCTACAACCTGCAACGCTACAGGTGGCAATTATCGTTCTATCCTTACGAATTTTTTTTCGGAATGATGGTGAAGATGTTCATTTAGGGGTTCAAATGAACGAAAAAAATAAAATTTCCCTGGTTTTGCATTCGCTCTACAGGTCACTATTGAAAATTAATCGACACAGAATTTTGCATGAGAAGAGAGTTCAAGACAGGGAAAAAGTCTAGCATTTTGGATGACTATTGGATTTAACTGTAAAATGGACAACAACTTTTGTGTGAAATTGTTTTGAATACCTAACAACACGACGGAGGGCGTAAATATTGGGCAAATGGCCCCGATAAAACACTAAGGGCAACATTTGGGCAGATCTCTATGACCTCATTTCAAAAACGAAATCTTCCAATGAATTTGGAAATAAGAGGGCTTCCAACATATTGTAGTGTTGTAGGGTATCACATGGTCAGCTTAATTATTTATTTTTATGTCAATGATTGGTGCTGCAATATTTTTTTTATTAATATCATGTCGTTTTAGTCAGTAGTTCAAAATGTTCAAGGTCATTTCAACATTACACTTTCAGCTCTTTTCTCAAATATTATCTATTTACATTAAGTTTCCGTAATCCTCACAAACATTTTAGAAGCTTCTCCTTCCTTTAACATTTTGATTTTATTTAAAAACTCGATTGTTGATAACGATGAACAATTTACTCGTGCCATTCAAAATTCCAAACAACCATTTCCTTAAACATTTTAAATATTTGAAAAATCAGCTGCTGTTCATGCGCTTCAAAACAAAATGTAATTAGCTTTCTCTTTGACTTCAGTTTCACAGTCGCTTTTTGTTGTCATCATCGTCGTCATTATCCTGTTTCTTTTCTCTTTCGTCATGTCTATTATCTTGGCATGGAAGGTACGTTTGTGTGTGTACTACCAGCCAGTATGCCAATGACACCGTTACTATTTTCTTTTCACGTTACGTTTTTCATTCAAAGCCATTCATTAATTGGGTTAATTGAGTCCTGACGGTGTTGTTGTGTTTGTTTGTTAATGTCGGTCGTTTGACCGGTCGGTGTATTGGACGTTCACTCGTTTCGCTATTTGCTGAGCAAAATAATACGAATTTTAGTTATTCGACTAATTGTGCAGGTATTCATAAAATTTGAGATCTAAGCGTGTTCCTGCGGCAATAACATAATTTTCGAATTCAGAACAAAAGTAATTTTGAGTTATGGATAGAATCTACAGATTTTTTTATAGTTTAAATTTAATTGTAATTTATTTTTTGATGGATAAATCTTGATAGAAGGAAGTTTTGATGAAGTCATAAAGTAGACTATTTAAAAAAATATAAATAATTTTTAACGAAATCGAAATTCCTTCATTAATCAAAAATGGTAAGACATGCGAACGCTTCTGATTTTTGTACTCTTGGTCTTATGGCTATGGATGATGTATATGATTTGAAATACTTCTAATTGAAAAGTCTTTTTCCAAATCCATAATCGTAGATTAGAAACTATTTTCCGAATTTCCATACCAAACACTAGGGTTTTTTTTAATATTTGCTCCAGGAAAATACCATGGATTTTTTTATTATTTTTTTTAAAAATTAAATATATGAACATTTGTTCTACAATCGCGAATTTCTCAAAAAAAAAAAAAGAAAACATTTAGGATTTCTAGGCAGTCTTAATATAAAATATATATTTTGGGGATTTTCAGACCCAAAATGGTGGATTAGAAAAAACTTTAAAGGATTTTCAGGCCAAAGCGCATGATTTTTTTTTTAATTCTTATTCCGTGGAAAAAGTCGCGGATTTAAAATGTATATATTTTAAAGGATTTTCTGATTTAAGTGATTTCTATACCGTGGGTTCCAAAAAAAAAAAACTAAAAAATTCTTCATGATTTGCAGATCAAAGTTGTGGAATCAAAAAGCAAAAATATCGGATTTAGAAATTTTAGGTAAAAAAAGGAATATCCATGCGGAAACGTGGATTTTTAAGGTGAGGGTCACTTTTGGTCCGAACTGGTCAGATAAGGCTGGGTTTTTGGAAATTCGTACTAGAACGGTACGAAAAGTATTAAAAGCTACTAAATATAGTACGTTTACATTTGTGGAAGCAGTCTAGCTAGAATGAGGGTAACTGATGTGTAGATGTGTACGAAAAGTACTAAAATAGACTACAATTGGTACCATTTAGTATCATGTGAACGGTTCGGACTAAAAACTTGAAATTTGGAATGGAAATCAAAGTTGAGAAGTAGAGATCGATGTCAGTAGGTAGTTTTGGAAATGTGTACTCATGTACGCGAAAAGTACTAAATGGTACTAAATTTCGTACAATTTGAATTTGGGATAATTAAAGGAGCTGGAGTCCTGAAATTTGAAATTAACATTACTGGCGAGTTTTGGATTGTGATATGGAGGAAGTTTTCCAAATTTGTACTTGAGTGCCGAAAAGTACTAAATGGTACTAAATTTTATACAATTTCGATTGGCGTAAACCGCTAGAGCTGAAATTTAGAAATACTACTACTATTGCATGTTAGAACTGAGGAATGTAGGTAGTTTTGGAAATTCGTACTTGTGCGTACTAAATGGTACTTAATTTGGAACAACTTAAATTTTGGGTGAATCGGTAGAGTTGTAATCCCGAAATTTGAAAATTAGATTTCTATTGGACTGTATGACTGAGGTAGATATGAACATTTGTAATTTTGGTACAATTTGGATTTGGGTGAACCAATGGAGCTGGTATCCTCAAAATTGGAAATAATATTACTGTCGGAGTTTAGGATTAAGATATATAGGTAGTTTTCAAATTATTAAATTTCAAATTAAGATTACTGTTGGAATGTAGGCTTGGGTTATGTAGGAAGTGGATATTCCTACTTATCTGTCCTATATGGTACTAGAGTTGGTACAATTTGTACTTGAGCGGACCGATTAGGTTGGAATGCTGAACTTTGGAATTTGGGATTACTGTGGGAGTGTAGGAATGTGGTATGTAGGAAGCTTTGGAAATGCGTACTTATGTGTACCAAAAAGCACTACATTTGGAACAATCAGGATGTGGGTGAACCGATAGGGCTGGAATCCTGATATTGGAAAATACGATTTCTATTGGATTGTATGATGCAGTTTGTTATGGAAATGTGTACTAAATGGTACTAAAATGTGTACAAGTTGGAATTGTAACATATCTATGGAATTGTAACATATCTATGGAATTGTATGATTGAAGTGTGGATGTTGTTTTGGAGATTTTGTGTGTAGATTGTACAATTTGGTGTGATTTTGTACAATTTGGATTTATTGAAACCCATAGGTCTGGAATCCTGAAATTTGGAATTAGTGTCACTGTTGAAGTTTAGGAATTGTTATGTACTAAATAGTACTATATTTGCTACAATATGTATTTGATGGAGTGTAGGATTGGGGTATGTAGGCAGATTTGGAAATTCATACTAGTGTGCACTAAATGCTCGTACTAGTCGGGGTGAGACAAATTTTTGTTTTTGGATTATACATAAATTCACTTAATATAAATCCATTTTCCGCATATGAAGTAGCGGGTATTTGCTAGTGTTTAAAACAGCTTTTGCAATATTTTTTTTGTATTTTTATTGTTTTTATCGAATTCCTTTCCAAAAAATCACGGATTTTTGTCAATGACTCCTTCTAAAAATTCTGCCAAAAACACGTATTTGGAAAATGAACTGGACTTTGTTTATTATACCATACCGGTTTGGGCGGAACATAGACAGAGACTATGTATCTCTCGACACACCTACTAATAATTTCTAACATGTTTAAATAAGTCTTTACTCATTTCAGATATTTTCAATTTTTAAAAGCTTGTTCAATTTTGTAACCTGTAGGATTTTAGGTGGTCCTTTTAAATCTTTTACCATACCTCATCTTACTTGAACTTGAATCCTTGGAACCAAAAGCACGAGTTGAATTATATAAAACCATGAATGAAATAGTTCAAAGAAGTATAATTTTTGTACTATAATGGAAATATTCCCAATAAAAAAATTGTAATTTAATAAAAAATATATATTATTTCCAATGTTTGCTCTTTGTGCCAAGTAAGGGCTCTGATGTTTTTAATCTTGTCATTTGTTTTATTTTCAACGGCATTTATATTTAATTGAATAACAAATATTGATGCTATAAAAAGCCGTTTATGTTTAACAAGATTTAAAGACATATATATGCACACACTCATATGATACTATGATCCCCGTAGTTTTTGCTTCTGCATCGCCATCAAATGATAATTGCCCAGATTTAGTTGGCCATCATCCGAACAATGCAAATTTTCCAATTGATGGATTAGAAACTATTGGTGGAAGTTTTGAAGTTTCATCAAAATGGCTGACACATTACACCGAGAAACATTGGCATTTTAATGGTGGCTTGACGTCGACTTCGAAATCATGAAACAGCGGATACCAAACGAGCGAGTTACGGTGATGAATGTGCCGAGTATGAATACGGCGAATGATTTAAATTTGTTTGCCGTCAAACAGTGACTACAACAAATGATTGTTGTTCACAGGATGATGGATAGAGAAAGCGAGAAGGGGTTAAGACTGAGTGATATAAAAATGATGGTCTCAACTTGTATGATATTGTATGAAGGTGAACTGATGACGGCGAAATGAACAAGATAAAGCCGCTGCAAGGCAAACACGAGAAAAAAAAAAACAATAGAAGATTAAAAGAGAAAACAAACACAAAAAACAATCAACAAAACCAAAATGAACGATGAAATTGTCTGGCAAAAACAACAAACAAAAAACCTAACAGACTTACGTTCTGTGGCAAAGGTAGAGAGGTAGTGATGATTTGAGTGGAGTATACAACAATGTAAAATCAAAATGATTTCAGTTAACAATATTTTAATAAGATCTACAGCAAAACATGAATTTAAAATAAATGGACTGGCAATGTTCATTTTGTGCATCATAGATTTAAACCTACAAACATATGTGTTTTATTGGGTAGGGATATTTTGAAAAAAAAAAAAAATGAAGGAAGTTAGAGTGGTGGCAGAATTAAATCTGAGACTTTTTATTAAAATAAAGTAGTGGATATTGCTGAATTATATACAGATAGTAACATGAATAATGGTTGAAGGCCGTAAAATTTCAGAAGATTTACTAATAAAATAAGTAAATTGTGCAAATGTTATATTTATGGATAACGTGCCAAGAGGATAATAATGTTCAAAGAATGCACATTGCATGTGTTCTGCTAAAAATACAGCTAGAGCCTTCTAAGTACTCATATTCGGAAATACTCCCAAAGGATACATTTTTACAATGACGCTATAGGCCGTCCAAAGTAAAACTGTCTCATACATTATCTTTAAAGGCAATCTATCGACACTTATGCTCCAACTTTTTTCTTCCAAATAGCTGCAAACAATTTTGAGTTTTCGCAAAGAACCGATTTGAAGAATTACTACTTAAATATAACAGAAAACTTATAAATCCGTAAATTTACGTAGAGAAAATGTACAAATTTCCCCCTGCTCTCAATTTGCATTTTAAATGGGATTCCCTTTCCGAAGCGGTTTCTGTAAAAATTTCTGCCACGAATTGCAAACATACTTCCTTGATAGAGGGGGCAGTTTCGAAGGAGTGGACGAATATTGTCCATTTCGTATACCTCCTAAGTTTGATATAAATAGAGTATAACATTATAAGTTTTGAAAAATGTTGAAATGCTCATGAGGTATCAGGTGCACCGAAATATTCTCTATTCTAAAAACTTAAATTTTCTTCCATTTTATGCCAATAATTTTAACCTTTTGTGGGGTAGGTACGAGAAGGAGCTTGTCGATAAATTCCATATTCTCATTAGATCTCTGGCTGAGAGAAATATTTAGATATACCAAGTTTCAAAGAATCGCTGACTTGTTTCGAAAGTTATGAGAGATATAAGTATTGAAAATTGTCACCCTTTGTAGGGCAGGTACTATAAGGGCTGGGCCGATATCTTCCATCTTAACATCAAATTCTGTATTAGTAGAAATATTGGAATGTGTAATGTTTAGAAATAATCAGAAGCTTTTTTCACATGTTATGAGCATTTTTATTATTATTCAAATTGTTGACCTCTTTGTGGGGAAGGTACCAGAAGATGGGGTACGTGTGGGAGGAACTTGATGAGGTGGCCCGATATCGTAAATTTTCGCACCTGACCAAGCACTGATACAATTATTAGAATATTATAAATTTAGTTGATGCAATTAATAAAGTTGGATGATCCTATTTTTATGAAGCCAACTATATTCTTTTTGTGGTCTCCGAACTACATTTAAGTTTCATAATATTACGATGTACCAAGTTTGGACCAAATCGGAGCAGCCAGACAGACGGACTGTCGAACGGACGAATACCCTAGATCGACTCCAAATGTCCGGAAACGGATTTGCACATGGTAATATTTAAATAACTCTCGCAAGCCTCGTTACATGGGGCTATACGAAGACGTGGTCCTGCATAAGTAACATTTTGTCATAGACTGTAGTACCGATTCCGATCTTCAAATACGAAATTTGAAACAATTTCGGTGAAAATATCCCTAAACATACCGAATATTGGGAGGTACAGTTATTTGTGGGCTATTCGTTCAAAGGATAGCCTGGTAATAATAAATCGATGGACATCGCTAAATCGACTTAGAATTTAACGCTGATCAAGAATATATATACTTTGTTGGGTCTAACATAAGTATTTCCAGGAGTTACAAACCGAATGACAAAGTTATATATCCTCCATGGAATGGCGGAGGGTAAAAAAATAGTTAGATTACGTTTTGGTTAGGTGCGAAAATAACCAATATATTCTTGTATCTTTTATTTGGTTGTTCTACTTCTCGATAATATCGACATTTTGAAGGCAAGCTATATTGGACATCGAATATTTTGCTATCTCCACGACACTATGGACACCAATTGTTAGACTAGGTCCTAAGATTTGTCGCTACGGATATCTGTAGTTTTTAGTCTCTTAAGCAAGATCAGTTGCTACTTAAAGGGTGCCGGAATTGGTGGTCCCCACCTATATAATTATGTCGTCTAGGGATCTACGCAGAAATGCTTTCGAAATAATTCGGGGTGTCCACTTCTATAACTTTTTCGGAAGTTATCGACAAAAATGGTAGCGTTCAAACGCAAAATTTGATTTTAGAAGGTTAATTTAAATTGACTGCGTTGCTTCTATCGGTAGGTTTTAGTGACTACTTTATTTTTGTTTATCGAAAAATGTCGTTAATTGCTGAAATTAAAAAAAAATGTTTTATAGATAATTGTCGGTAACTCTGTCGTCAACTATTTTCAGAATCGCACTACAGGTGGTAAAAAGAAGTATAAAAAATGTCAAAATGGTAGCAATTTCGGGCCGGCCTCCAGAGACCCCCCCAGTAGGCACTCACCCACGACACTGGCAATTTTTTATATATTTTCAAAGTTCTCCTCCTCCTCGAATAAGAAAAAAATGTGGCATTAAAGTCAAATAACAATTGTCCAAAATAAAAGGTAAACATTACCTGCATGTGACCGTGCACAACACGCGTACATACCTACGTGTGTATATGATATGTATGATGAACTATGTGCTTGCCATGAATGAACGTGTATGGGTCTGTATGTCATTCAATGTTGCGTCGTCGACGTCGTCTCCTTTTTGTGTTCTTTTTTATTCGGATGAATTGTTTTGTTGCCGTGTTGCCACTTGCTATTCATTCGTTTATTGACGAGTCGTCGGCATTTGTTATTGTTGCTCACATCTATTGGCGAGAACAGCAAAAAGAAGGGGGTGTACGTAGATAGGTAGGTATGTATTAGTGTGTGTGTGTGTGTATGTGAATACATGTGGATTCGTGCGACTGAGCAATACAATGGCGGACGTTTCCGTTTTACGTTCATTGCCTCTGCCACAATTTTAATTTTCCTAATGGATATCGATCCTTCCGACAAAATAAAAAAAGAAAGAAAGGAATGAAACGAAAGAGGACAAATACACGGCACAAGAACTACAAAAACAGTCGGGGCAGACAAAAAAAAAAACGGCAGTGGTAACTTCGTATGGCAACAAAGGCAATGACAACAATAATGAACAAACTCACACAAATAAACGAAAAACGACAACAAGAACAAATTGTACTAACGACAACAATAACAACAGCAGCAACAACAACAACTGCAAGATATGTACGGGGATAATGCAAAAGGATAATAGACTCCTTTTTATTGTGATTGCGACTCTATAAAAGTCAACTTGTGCGCGACCGAATTTGTATGATGATAAATGCACATGTGTGTATTGTATGCCGAGTTGGTGTGTGTATGTGTGTGTGTGTGTGTGTGTGTGCCTGTACGTGTGGGTGAACAAGTGTCTGTGAATGGCCGCGTGTCTATGGGTCTCTTTTGGCAAAGCTACGCCAGAATGATTACAGTCCGCATTTTCGGTTGTCATTGTTGTGCTTGGCTTACCTTTGCCTTTTGTTGTTTTTGTTGTTGACTCCTAGTGGGAGGAGGGGTTGGAAATGTTGTACGACTGACACACTTGAATACATTGAAAGTTCCCCAAAACGCAGACACACAGGTACAGGCACATCCACAAGCACATGCTTTCATGTCATGCAATGTCAGACATGGTAGAGATGTAAGGATATCGCCAAACACCACAATAATGATTTGTATATGCCGCATTTACATTTGATACTGTTGTTGTTGTTGCTGTTTTGGATCCGTTCTCATTCCATCCATACATCCAACTATCCTTTTTGATGATAATCATCATGATTGTCACTAAGTACTGACGTTGATATTGGACGCCGTTGTCCTCTACAATGACGATGGCATTTAATGATGACGTTCCTGTCGAAGGGTTACAATCCGAAAAGGAGGATATCGACCGAGTCACAGCGAAAGGACACCACCAGTGTTACATAAACAACAACGGAACGTGAACACGCATACTTACGCATACAATGACGGCGGTAGTGCCCCTTTGTTGTGTGGGGGCTTTGTTTGTTGTTGGCCTGCAGCAATTCCAGCTTTTTGTTGGCTCGACATTGTTTTTAATCCATTTTTAAGCACCTTTGTTCACAGGTGCTGTCGCTGTCGCCATGCCAATAATAATACGAGCCGAGCGTGTCCCTCCGCATCGATGTACCCCTTTTTTTAATCACAAACACATTTGGAAACATATGTCCACCAAACTGGTGACAATTTTGACATGCTGTACACGAAAAGAAGAACATGGATAAGGTATTCCTTGAGGTGTTAGGTTGGGTGGGCAACACTCACCTGGTAGTATTTGAAAACATCGAATCGAATGAAAAGGGTTGGTCTGCAAGAGGATTACCCGCAACACTGGGAGATATGTATGTATATTGGAGCACTTACATATTTTGATATTTATACAATGTAACGACAAGAAGACTATTAACAAAATAATAATAACGAAAAAAATATTTTTGTACATATCTTTGAATATTGACATATATTCCAAAGCTGCTGAGCTTGCAAATGTCCATATATATTTTGTAAAAACGACCCGGAAAGTAAAATAGAACTTTATCAGAGTAAATAAGTACCATGGTACAATAAAGAGAAGGTAGGCCAACTTTGAAAAAATTGCAAGTATAGAGTCTACCTGTTTGGCTTGTAATGTCAGAATTAGTATCAAAACAATAAAAAAATCAAACAACTTGTTGCATTTATTTTGAATAAATAATTGAAAACCGCGATAACTGAATGAAAGGTCAACACTTCTTTTCAAAATCATGTATTATATGATACCGGATATAGGATTATTTCGCTAAAAAAACTCTAGATTTTGTCGATGCATATGTTGAAATAAACATTTTGGAATCACCTGAATTTGAATGTTTTCTGAACAATTTTTTTTGTTATTGAAAAGAAAAAACATACATAAACACATAAAGATGACATATTAAGCCAAGAAAATAAAAAATTAAAATCATATGGTATTATAGCCCTACCTTGATATCATTTTACCATGATAAGTACTATTACAGCTCCTCTGAAATCAAACATAGCTTGTGTTCGAAGGTGGGCAATGGATCAGTCCATTCCTTCTAATACTAAAGGGTAATTTTTAAGAGCTATAAAAAAACCGCAAAGTACTGCCAAAAGTTGGACAGGGCTGCCCATGGATAGTAGAGCTATCTATTATAAATAAACGTTTTCATTGGAATTTATGATATTTAAATCATACAATCTATGATCGTTTTAGAATGCGCATTAAAGCTGTAATAAATCAAAGTCGAAAGAAACTAATATGTGAGGTATAGGCTCCTCTGGAATCGATGAATCTGAACCGGTATTAATCAAAATTCATTCTACTTAAGCTTATTTAGGCACAATAAACTTGAAATCGAATGAATATATATGGGAGCATTATACAAATCTGAACCGATCTTTATAAAATGTAGCTGAGTTACAGGGTGAGATGAAAAAACTGCAACCAACTTCAGACTGCTGTCATTTCTAAGCCACCCGTCCGACAGCTGTTAAAATTATTCCAGTGACAGCTCATTATATTATTTACAAGCGTACAAAAGCCGTTTGTTGGGCATTTTCCAGAAAAAAGTTATTCGTAATGGAATTCAGGCGTGATAGTGTGATTTCTTTATATTTGGCTGGAAAACCACTAGTGGTTATCGTTAGAGCACTCCAACATTTAAATGTGAATAAATCTTTTGTGCCTCGTACCGTCGCTCGTTACCGTGATACTGGTAGCGTAGCCCAACGTTAAGGAAGTAGCCGAAAAAAACAGCAACATCAGCAGAAATGGTTCGAAAAGTAAAGAAGCGACTTGATCGAAACCCGCGTCGCAGTGGCCGAAAAATGGCTCGTGAGCTGAACATATCGCAATATTCCATTCGGCAAATATTGAAAAATGAGCCATTGAAATTCCAAAAAGTGCAAGAACTTACATCGCAACAGAAAGAAAATAGACTCAAACGAGCTAAAGTGTTGCTTCGCTTGGTCGAAAGTGGTGAACTGCCGAATTTGGTTTTCTTCGATGAGAAAACATTCGTTGTCCAGCAGTTTGTAAACAAACAAAGTGATCGTGTTTACTTGCCAAAAAGGTCAGCTAAAAATTTGCACCTTCGGTTAGCCACAAGAACTCTAGCGCCGGCCATGGTGATGGTGTGGGCCGCCATAACAGCCGATGGTCGCTCTGCGCTCTATTAATAGACCGTGGCATCAGAATAAATGCCGAATATTATCGCGAAAATATTCTGGAAGGTTTAAATCCTTGGGCACGCAAACATTTTGGCCGCAGTCCTTGGACATTCCAACAGGACTCAGCACAATCGCATTCAGCTCGCGCCACCCAAGAATGGTTACAAAATGAGGATCCTCGCTTCATTTCCAGAGCACAATGGCCACCAAAATCTCCGGACACCAATCCGTTGGATTATTGTGGAGTATTTTCGAAAGCAAGATTGGGATTAAAAAATTCCAAAGTGTCGATCACCTCAAACAAGCGCTTCATTGACCGTTTTAAGGCCATAATTCGTACCAAAGGTGACCAATTCGAACAAATCTAAACTTATTCTAAAATTTGATGCTATTTCCGAAATTTTTTGCTTTCATTCAATAAAATTTTAAAAAAAATGTTAAAAATATGGTGTTTGACTTTGTTGCAGTCGTGTAATAACTGAGTGATTGACTGATACAGAATCCACGCCCACACGAAACGGCTGAAGCTGGAATCTTGAAATTTTGCACTATGGTCAATATTATTGCGGAGGTGTGAGATATGGCTTGGTTTTCGTACTAAAGAGTACGAAAGGTACTAAAATGCATTAAAAATTGAATACATTGTATTGGGCAAACGTAATGAGCTAGAATTAAATTTGAAAAAAGAGTGATAGAATGCAGGTTGAATGTACCAAAGGATTTTTCAAAATTGTATTTAAGGTTGTGAAAAGTTCTAAAATGTTACTAAAATAGTACCGTTTGGAATCATATGAACGGATAAGAGAACCAAGATTGGAAGGTAAGTTTGATATTTGAAGGTGGTTTGGGAATGTTTACTGAGTGTGTGAACGGTACTAGGTAGTACTAAATTTGAAGCAGTTTGGCTTAGAGTGTTCATGTGTAGCCTGCACACATGGTGGCGTTTTTGGAAATTTGTACTATAATTTTAATAAATATAGTAGTGGGGAAAATTAAAGAGGCGAAAGCCTGAAATTTGATATTGAGGTCACTGTTGGTATCTTAGGTTGGGATATGTAGATGGTTTCAAAAATGTGTAATATAATTGTTTGAAAAGTACTTAGTGGTAACAAATTTGGCACTGAGTGAATGTATAGAGCTGGAATCCCGAAATTTGATATTAAAGTCTCTGTTGGTGTCTGTGGTTGAGAGAAGGAGCTGGCTATGGATATGCGTATTTGTTCGAAAAGTAAAAAAAAATTAAGCTAGGTGAAGGTATTGGGTGAAGGTATGGTACGGTAAGTACTTTATAATAAATATAAATATGTACGGTAAGTACTTTATAATAAACTAGCTGAACCCGGTGCGCTTCGCTACCCCTTTTGATTTTATTTGCATTCAAAATTTAATTTATGTTATGGTTAAAAAAAACAAATTTAAAAAATTTAAAAAAAAATTATTGCACTACTTTAATGCGTAAATAAACAAAACCATTAGAAAAGCAGTAATCAGTTATTTATTTCATAGCAAATATCCAGCGCGCAGTAAACTGCAATCTTTTGAAGTTGAGTGACATTTCTATTGCAATTAGTGAATTCGAGATAGTAACATACTTCGCCGTAATAAGCGTATTTCAAATTAATTGTTGTGTTGTTTTTTAGTGTTAGCCTAAAGCGTTGTGGGTCAATGGTTCTTATTAAAATCATATCCCAATCTGATTCGATTTAAATATAATTTAAAAAAAAATACTTTTTCATCAAATTCCGCCACACCTTTCATATTTTATTGAAATTGGTGCGTCAAATATATGAAATCGGCCGAGAATATATATATGGGAGCTATATTCAAATCTTAACTAATTTCAAGTTAATTTGTCACAATTATTATTCTAACCAAATTCCGCCACACATTCTGAATTTCATTGGTATCGGTCATATACATCATGTTTTGTGGATAACATGTAAGAAATCGACCGAAATATATATTTTAGCTATACCCAAACCTCAACTGATTTCAATATAATTTGGCAATTTTTTCTGGTGCCAGATTTCGTCTCTCTCGCTTTGGGTGCATCAAATATGTGAAATCGGCTGAGTATATATATGGGAGCTATAATCAAATCAGAGCGTATTTCAATATAATTTGTCAAATTTATTTTTGTACCAAATTTAGCCACTCATGTCGAATTTCATTGGAATCGGAAATACGTATCGTGTTTTGTGCATCAAATATGTGAAATCGGCGGAAAATATATATGGGAGCTCTATCCAAATCTGATCCGATTTTAATATAATTTGACTAATTTATTTTGTAATAAAAATCCCGTTACATATTCCAAATTTCTTTGGAATCGAACATACATATCGTGTATGGTGCCTAAAATACATGAAATCGGTCGAAAATATATATGAGAGCTATATCCAAATCTGAACCGATTTAAATTTAATTTGACAATTGTATATTTGTTTTAATTTCCGCTACACATTCCAAATTTCATTGAAATTAGAGATACATAGCGTGTTTGGTGCATCAAATACATGAAATCGGTCGAAAATATATATGGGAGCTATATCCAAATCTGAACCGATTTCAATTTAATTTGACAAATTCATTTTGGTTCCCAATTCCGTTACTTATTTTAAATTTCATTACAATTGGAAATACATATAGTGTTTGGTCCACCAAATACATGAAATCGGCCGAAAATGTATATGGGAGCTATATCCAAATCTGAACCGATTTCAATATAATTTGGAAAATCCATTTTTTAAATAAAGTCTATCACACTTTTCAAATTTCATGGAAATTGGGGATACATAGCGTGTTTGGTGCATCAAATGCTTGAAATCGGCCGAAAATATATATGGGAGCTAAATCCAAATCTGAACCGATTTCAATATAATTTGACAAATTTATTTTCGGATTAAATCCCGTCACACATTCCAAATTTCATTGGAATCGAACATTCATATTGTGTTTGAGGCATCAAATGAACGAAATCGGTCGAAAATATATATGGGAGCTATATCCAAATCTGAACCGATTACAATATAGTTTGGCAAACTTATTTTTGTTCCAAATTCCGTTACGTATTCCAAATTTGGAGACTGTATCTTCAACCAATCAATAGATATGTGCATATAAAATCTAAAGTTTTGGGAGGTACCTCCGATTCTGATGCTATATCTCCAGTTCCAAGTGGAAATTCAAAAATGTATATAGCCTATGTTACTTTCA